TTTATCACAGATTTTATCATTAATTTAGGTTGTTTATATATTACATCTAAATATGATCGTTCAGGTTTCAAATATTCTGAATTGTGTAAATGTTCTGAAGAACAAAAACAAATTTATTTCAGAAGGTCAACAGATAAAAAAAAATGGTTCTTTAGATGTAATAATTGTCAATATTTTCGAAATATTTACGTGTATTAATTAAATAAAGTATAAATATAAAGCAAATATTTTATTTTTCTTAAATAATGGATTCAAACTGGCAAGAAAAATTCAAAGATTTTGAGGTTTTGACTAATTGGGAAAAGTACAAGAATCCTGATAAACCAAAACTTAAATTGAATGAATATCGTCTCGTAAAAATCAATTTCACAATTTATCTTGAGGTTGAAACTCAAAAACCAGGAATCACATTTTTACTCGATAAGGAGAATTTTCATCTTCTGAAAAATTATACCTGGTCTTATTATAAAACTAAAAATAAAAACATATATTATATTTGGACAAATAACAAAGACCAAAATTATAAAAATTTATATCTTCATCGAATGATTCGTCCTGAATGGAAATTTATTGACCATATATCAAGAAATGGACTTGATAATAGAAAATGCAATCTTCGAGAAACAACAAAAAGAGAAAATGGAATGAATTGTAAACTTCGAAAAAATAATACTTCAAAATATAATGGAATTTATTTTAATAAAACACTTAAAGCTTGGGGATTTTGTTGGTGTGAAAATAACAAACGAAAATTTAAATATTTTTATATTAACAAAAATAGAACTAGCGAACAAGCTAAACAACTTGCTATAGATTTTAAATTGGAACACGACAAAATAACTGGCAATCGAAATGGTTATTCTGTGATTTTTTAGTTTATTTTTGTTTTTTTTTTTAACAAAATAAAATCTATGATTTATTTTTTTTAATAACTGATTTCTCTTTAAGTTCAGCTTTTCTTTTTCCGTTGGTTTTATTTTTCAATTTTCTCTCTTTGGTATACTGAGAATCATCAGAATTATATTCACTTAATTGGGAATCGTAGTCTAAATTATCTAGTTCAATAGGAGGATTCTCGAGTTCTTGTTTATACTTATATAATTCTTTTACATTCGGATAGTCTTTTAAATAGTTTTTCTTGTATTGAGGAAAAGCCTTACGCCAATAAACTTTATCGTCTTTAAATAAAATTTCTCCATCTTTAAAACCTGAATTTTTTGTTTTTTCAATAATTTCATCATCTGAAAGATCAGACCTTCGTAACCCAATATCAAAAACCATGTTTCGAAAATCCTCTTCTGAGCCTTTGAGAAAGTGAATTTGGGTTGTTTTGTTGTTCCAATTTCCAGTAAATTGGATAACAAAATCCAATCGTCGTTCGAATTGACCCCAATCTAATACATAAATAATTAATTAATATTTAAAATAAATAAATTAAATATTAAAAATGTTTAATATAATAACCTCTATGGACAGTCATGTTATCTATCACGTTTCCATTTCCAAAATTAAAAGCCTCTTGTGGAGATTTCCTAGACGTCATAAAAATGTATTTCGCTAAAAAAGGGACAAAGCCTTTGTTTTTGATCTCAACACGTTCATCTGTATCATTCAATAGCTTAACGATATCTGACCATCCAATTGTCGTATACCTAAAAAATAAAAAAAATATTAATTTTTATATAAATAAACATGATAAAATAAAACTCACCATTCATCAAACAAAACAAATTCATGTTT